TTGGACGTAACTACGGATCCATGTCTTAGACGCCTTGGATCCGGCCTTGTACGCCGATCCCGACTTTGAGGCTGCGACGGATCCAGCCTTGGCAGACGATCCGGACTTGGATGCTGTGGATCCCGGCTGAGATGCAGCAGCGGATCCAGTCTTGGGTCCAGATCCAGATTTTGACGTAACAGCAGTGGATCCAGCCTTGGATCTTACACCCGTCTTGGACGTAGCTACGGATCCGGCTTTGGACGTTGATGCCGGTTTGGATGTGGCGATGGATCCGGACTTGGATCCGGCACCAGACTTCGAAGGGGAGGCGGAAGGTTTGGACGTGGATGTGGATCCCGCCTGGGAGACTGTTTTGGAGGCCGATCTGGTTTTGGGTTTGGCCTTGGGAGAAGCTCGGGCATGCTTGTGGGGACGGGAAGATCCAGTACTAGGGGCAGGGGATGCGCTACGCGGTCGTTTCGCGGCTGATGGACCCGCCCCACTTGGAGACGGCAGAGCAACAGAGACGCTAGCGGCAGAAGATGATCCAGCCAGGGGAGAAAGGGGATCCGAGACAGCAGCTGTAACGGGGTTACATGGTGTGGAGCACACAGGGGTACGAAGTACCCGGAGAGTTAACAAACTCTCAGTACATAAGTTGGAGAGTTAACAAGGTCTCTCAGTACGTTGGCTGAAAGCCACACGTTATGCATTTGATTAGGTTTAACTATGCTAGATAGTTAAAGAGATACATTTACCCCTAGGCGGCTTGGCCGCAATAATAGTAAATAAAACACTTCTGGTTTTGAAGCATAAAAGTTAAGGTGTTAACTTTGAGCCCTGGTCTTGGGCTGTAAGTGTCCTTTGGATAAGGAACTTAGTATCAGTGACTCTTTGAGTCGAACGTCTTCCTCTGACGCTAAAGCTACGGCAGCCCCGCTGCACTTGGTATACCAAGTATACTTGGAGGCCGATCTGGTTTTGGGTTTGGCCTTGGGAGAAGCTCGGGCATGCTTGTGGGGACGGGAAGATCCAGTACTAGGGGCAGGGGATGCGCTACGCGGTCGTTTCGCGGCTGATGGACCCGCCCCACTTGGAGACGGCAGAGCAACAGAGACGCTAGCGGCAGAAGATGATCCAGCCAGGGGAGAAAGGGGATCCGAGACAGCAGCTGTAACGGGGTTACATGGTGTGGAGCACACAGGGGTACGAAGTACCCGGAGAGTTAACAAACTCTCAGTACATAAGTTGGAGACTGGCCGCCTACATGGTTAAAACTGGAGGCCACCTCATACCCACCAAGATCGAGACGCTCACTAAGGACGTGCCGCGCAACAAGGAGATAATCAAAGAAATCGTGCATTCCACGTGGCCAGCCGTCTCCGCCCCCGATCCAGACGGAGACGGCCCGGGCGTACCCGGTAAGCCATTCCAGGCACAAGCTATCATAGCCAACCCCGTCTCCTACGGACACATCCACGTCGCCGAACGCCTCGGTGTGCCGCTGCACATCATGTTTCCGCAGCCGTGGGTGCCCACCATGGCGTTCCCCCATCCGCTTGCCAACATGCCCTACACGGACGAGCTTAGGAAGACCAACTACATGTCGTATAAAATGGTGGATTTACTCATGTGGCAGGGAACGGAGGGTCTCATCAACGAGTTCCGCACCAAGGTACTAAAACTGCGCAAGATCCGCAACGGCGACGGCGGTCGGGACCTACTTCTGGATCTTCAAATTCCGCATGCTTTCATGTGGAGTCCAGAACTCGTGGCCAAACCGGCAGACTGGGGGGAATCTCTATGACATAGTCGGCACCGTGACCCCTGAGCGGCAGACCCAATTTCGTCTATACGCCGTCCCCAGAGTTGGAGATGTTTTTGGGCAGAGACGGCGGTCCCGATCTTCGTCGGTTTTCGGGTCGATGGTGCTGGCGGATCCGCTGGCTACTACCATGATGATCATCGAGGCGGCGCAGCAGGCTGGTGTTCGCGTGCTTATCCCAGTCCAGCTGGAGTGATATGGCCGGTAACCTCGACATTCCGGACAACGTCTTCTTCATCGGCAACTGTCCGCACGACTGGCTCATGCCACGAGTGTGTGCGGTGGTTCACCACGGAGGCGCGGGCACCACGGCTGCCGGTCTACTCGCCGGTAAGCCCACCTTCATTGTTCCGTTCTTCGGAGACCAGCCGTTTTGGGGTCACGCAGTGGTGAAGGCTGGTGTGGGTGTCGAACCGTGTCCGATCTCGCAGTTAACGACGGAGAAGTTGCGCGAGGGGTTCGTAGGGCTCATGGATCCGGCACTACGCGCTCGATTGCTACTTTTCTGCTCCTTGGTCGAACCCACTTACAATACAGCTGCTAGTGATATGCTTCCATCGGTGTCAAGAACTAATGGTTCAGTCGCGCTGCTAGCTGTCACAGCTCGTGAGTCGCTATCAGCATTCTATTTAATGAGGTACATGGCTAAAGCAAAAGGACTGGCGTAAACTATTGCATCCCCCAACGACATGATATAAATCGGAAGGCTCCACGACGTGTGCAACGCTGTCAAAATGCATGTTCTTTATACTCTCGGCTTCAA